TGAGACTCTTCTTTTCCGCGAAGACCTACTCCGGCGACATCGCCCTGCATCATGATATGTGTTCGCTCCATGCGTACCGCATGCATATGTGCTCGCGGCGCGGCGCCGTTACATCGGCCTATGCCTCGCGCTGGCGTTGACTCGCCTGAACTCGATGTTCATGACGCGCGACTTTGGATCTTTGGCTATCTATGTGGCTATATGCTATTGCTGGTAACATTTGTTGCCATTACTACCCCGTTCGCTTAATGCACGTCTCTCGCGTATTTGTTCCCTTGCTCCACTACACATCTGTTCGCCGGCTATGTATCGCACGAACTAATCACTCCCTTGTACATTGTACATCACTGTCCCCGTCACTGCACAATGCACCGCATCATTTCATTTCCATTGATCAATCTCGAGCTCTCACCCGTTTAATGTTTCCCTTCCATCGCATCGTCTCTTGTACCATCAGCTGTTTTGCCTTCATCTTCGTTTTCCGCCTCACACCTCCATCGAACTCACCGTGGACTATTCAGTGCATACGCACATCGCCTCCCACTCCCATCGAACTCCTGCCATGCACCATCATCCATGGACTCTCAGCCTGACCGAGCTCTCTTCTCCCCTTTGACAATCACGCGTCCGTACGTGTACAATCAAAACTTATTTATCGCATCCACATTGTATGTAGTGTAATTGTACACTGTATACGTACGCACCAAGCCCCACGTACCCACGCACTCGCTTTACCCGTAACACCATCGCTTCACCGGCACCAATGCATTGTGTTCCTATGATACGTATGCGGAGCGCGTGCACGGGGGCGACAAGTTTGCAAGGAAGTATTCAATATTCAAGTTCGCGCTCAGCGCTGAAACCTCAAGGCGAGCTCAAGGGTCATAACAACTTGGCGGGGCAATACCTGGTGAGTACTTGATGACATTCTGAACGCGGAAGATCTGCTGATCACTACTTGGTACTTGCGTGTTACAGCTTTTGGCCAGATCACAGCGCCAGCGGAAGCACGGGTCGCGGGAAGGACCTGCGATCACATACATGCCTGCATCCCTACAACTTACCAGGCGCGGCGGCGGGAGCTCTCCTCTTGTCAGTGTCGCGGGTATGGGTATGGAAGGGAGGGTCTGGTCGCCGGCCATCTCATCTGGGTTGTGCGGAGGTGGAGAAGGCGGAGAAGGCAGAGAAGGTGGAGATGGGGGACGTTCTCGACGACGGTCAGATCTGAACCATCTGATGACGCGCGTGGTTCTGCGGTTCTGCGGTTCTGCGGTTCTGTGTACATGTACGGTGTTGGGGTCAGACTGTGTGTGGCACGCTGACTCGATGGTCGACATGGGGGCAGTACTACAGTAATAGTACTGACACCGCCCTTGTTGACGTCGACGTCGAGGGTCGTTTTTGCGCTCGTGATAATATTGTTAATATGGGCTTGCATGCGCAGCTGCTGTCTAACGACCGTGATCTAGTCTCTTTGTTTAGGTTTAGAGCAGTTCCTACCGCCGTCTGTCGAGCGTCGAGCAAGCACTGTGGCGTCGGGCGCGAGTCTGCAAGAATCGATATCGTCTAGACGTCGATTTGGACGATTGGTGCGCACCGTGCGTCGTCGAGCGGTTGCACTGTGTGTGAACTGGGGAGAGTTCTGATCCTGGTAGGCTGATCTCGCCCGTGAAGCAGATCTAGAGCTCGACTGATCTATTGCTATTGCTGTTCAGTGCGTGACAGAGCACGGTGGCTGGGCCGAGGAGCCCGCCGAAAGGCCCATTCGATGATAGGGATGATAGAACGCCGTGACGAAGGCAAACTCGCAGGCGATACAGGCCACTCTGTCTGATGGTCATCATCATCATCATCATCCTTGTCATTGTCAGTCAGTACCCCCGATATCCGGATATTTAGTACACCTACCTGTGCGCCTTGCACTCAATCTCCGAGTCTATCACTAGTTCCATTTCCGAAAGTGTTCATGGACACGGGCGAGATTGAGATTGGCTTCCTGCGCACGCTCCGAGCGATCACTGTTCCGTGCATCCAGTGGTGTCGGACGTGGCACTGACACTGACACGAGCTGTGGTCTTGCTCCGATCACGGCTCCTCACGGCGTCGACTCTGGACTCTCCATAGATACGCATCCATCCGTAACACCGTCTGACGCTAGGAGTAGGGGGTGGGCGATGCCCAGAGATCGCTGTCCGTCCATTCGTCCAAATGGCATTCTATCAGCAAATCGCAGTGACTGGGTGGCATATCTGCATACCATCTCATGTTCTGGCGGCACCAGCCTGAGCGGCGTACTGACGTGGTATACGTATCGTATCTATCAGTATGATAGACGGTGAATTCGGATCGTGCTCTGCTCTCGCGATTTGCCACAATGCATATGTAGAGATATATATGGCCGGAGGTTTGGGACGCGCCTCCGTGCAGGGTGACACATCCTGTTCGCAGGATTCGGAGCGGCCGGCGGCATGGGTGGCGTTAGCAAGTAACTGAACTTACTAGTATCATGTAGTAGCTAACTGGCAGGCAGGCGAAAACGAGACGCGGTCGCGCTGGCATGGGCGGAATGGACTAGGTTAGCAATTGATTCTTGTCGACGATGGCCGCATCGCACATATGTTCTAGGCAGACTGCTATACGCGAGTCCCAGTATCTCCCTCAGCCTACGGCCGCACGGCCAATGATCGGGACGAGACGCCGGGTGCTGGATTGGCCACTGGTCACCTGGAGGGTGTCCGGGAGACAGCGAGGGGAGCACTTGAAGACTAAACTTTATCTCGAAAGTCGAAACTTGGATGAGAGTTAGGGGCAGGCTAGGGGCCGCGATGCAGGCCGCGTCGGTGCCGTTCATCCGGTTGTCGTCGGACAACATGCTGCACGGTCGTGGTTGATCACGGCGAACAGGAAACCGACGACCTGTGACTCGGAGTAGCGAGCTGGGTGCCAATGCATATGCATATGATGAGGCGGATCCGGAGTCGCGTCCAGCTGGCGGCCGCGTACCAAGCTTGCCTCGAAGCAGTCGCCATCACGACTGTGCAACGCTCTGTTCCGCCGCCTGCACCCGATGGTCTGCTTCAAGCTTGGTAGCTTCGGACTGTTCCCCGAGCCCTTCCGACTTAGAGCTCCGACTTTCAATCTCCAGAGCTCAAATTGGCTAGCTCACCACAGGATGACTGGCCATGCCATGTGAACTGCAGCACAGAATGAGCATTGTCAAGCGGAGGCAAGATCTGGGAGCCTGGAGCCATATACGTACTACGTGATCCCAGGTTCAGGGTGTCCAAATGCCAATGCGAACATCTGACATAGGGTGAACTAGATGATCATGCAGGGCGTGTTCGGTGAGGCTAGAGTAAGAGAACCAATCAGGGATTTCGCAGGGCGAGTGGATGTTCAATGTACAATGTATGTCATTGTACATGTGTTGCGGTCGGGGTTGGGATTGAGCGGACTGCGCGACGCGTATGAGCGTTCCGCCCGCCCGCCCGCCCCCAAGGAGGCGAGTCCTTTGTCGATGCGACGCCGCGCATCCATCATGATTTACGGTAGGCGGTTCGAACACGCCCACTTCACGTTGTGGGCACCCTATGAGCCTCTTGTTGCTCGCTCTCGCTCTCGCGGTCGCCCTCCGGATCTCGTCACAGACAGGGACTATCACCTAGCTGCGGTAGTCAATTGCAAAAAGGACCGGATTTCAATTCACAAGACGACGTCGACTGTGACACCACGTTCTTTTGTCCCCTGCTGCAGTACAAACAACGCGAGTGGCAATCTTGTCAAGAACATCCATCATTGCAAATCATAGGCTCACCATAACATCGTTATTCCACCGCAAAGCCGCAGCGATCGTCAAAGTCACCTCACAAGACCCTGCGCGTACGTATACCGTGGCGGCCCGCTGGATCCTGCAGGCTCGAATCATTGAAATTGAATGTTTCAATGTCAATCCCCGCCACATCTTCACGTACTCGAGTGATGCTCGAGTCTGGCAGCCTCCGGTCGCCCACGTCATGACTACTCGACGACGAAGGAGGTTCCGAAAGTATGTCACCTCGAAACGCGTCCCATTTCGTATTTCTGGCGGCGGAATCCCAGGCTCAGGGAGGCTCAGGGCGTACGTGTTCGGCGAGGCTCGCGAAATCAGGGCGAGTAAAAACCGAAATACGGATGATGGCCATGGAGAGTCATGACGGTGATACTTAGGTTCAAATTTGAAATCGGCGTTCGGAGCGACGTCTCAGCGCCTATTGTCAGCGTCGAGCTTACATAATGATACTGCCTTCCGACACCACTGACTTTGCCATCTTCTAAGTATACTTTGTGAATGGCCACGACACGCACTCAACGCGTTGCGCGCGACCATATGCTCCTCTCGTCTATCGTGTTGGCATCGCTTGTTTGCTTTCTAGCTGTGCTCTCGGATTTCGCATCCATCGTCGTACAGCAGCGTCTAGTACGTGTCACAATTGACCATTTCGCGATGTCGCGCTCGGAAAGTCGGGACATATGTATCACACGCTCTTTTGTCGCTGCAGCCGCAGGCTCGATATCACGTACTTTGCCGGCGCAGGCGGACGGATCCTCGCGAGTCGCAAGCTAAGGCGCAATGGGCTGATCGTGGCCGGTGGCTGGTAGCCATGAAGACCTTCGAATTTGCTCATACCGGGGGCCATGGACTAGACATGTCTGCATCTGCACAAGACTGAGCCTTCCGCACATTGCTCACATCCGGAACGCGAGGATGAGGAGGCGATGTCGTCCGGACCATGGTGTGCTGTCTTTTTTGTAAATGTCGCGCAGGTGCGTTCTCACGAAGTTCTCGGATTCATGGGAGAGAGCATAAGGAGGAATAGCGAGGAGTTGGGTCTTGTGTGGTATGTTTTTCCCTACCCTCGCAATTGGTCTGTGATGATCAAGTGAGGATGCTAATGGGTTGTGTGGCATATGAAGCGCAGAGTGTATCCTTACATACAAAATATCGATGGGATGTACTTCTGGGCCGACTAGCTCAGTTGGGGAAGAGCAGGGCATGCAGCGCCTAGGTCGTCGGTTCGACTCCGACGTCGGTCCAGGTGTCCTTGCGTTTGTGCAACACTTTTCTCCTTCTTTCCAGGAGGTTATCTTCCAAAGGCGTGTATATAGGAAAGACCCGGTGACACCGCATTGCTCCGTAACGAGTTCTCTGTGTCCCACAGAATCCAGATTGCGAGTCTTCAAGTTATTTGCATGTTGAATTGGGCCGACTAGCTCAGTTGGGGAGAGCAGGGCAGAGCCTTAAGTCGTCGGTTCGACTCCGGCGTACGGACGCAGTATATCATGGTCATTGGCTAGCGTTCTCGCGACTTTCACGGAGGGACGCTCACATTACGCGGGCATCTCTGAGCTCTCACCGCGTATTAATACATTCCCATGTTCGTCTTGCACGTCGTGCTAGTGACGTCCCTGAAATCCTGGACGATCAGGGTATGCGGCCAGTGCAGGGATACGTCACCCGCTCACGCCTCTACATTCTTCTCGACGTCCAGCGAGACGCGTATATACCACGACGGGATGATTCCGGACCAGAACAGCCTTGTAACATGGCCGTGACTGCTCTCCTATCACAACCCTCTTTATGGTTCAGGCCCGGAACCCTGCTTACGTCATACTACCTATAATGGAAGTACTTACTGACCTATGACGTTACGTAATGACGTTTCGTTTCGAAGTTATGCGTCGTGTATGCGATGTTATTATTCATCCATACCTCTACCTCTTGTCCTTAGCCTCAAGCGCCAGACTCAAACGCAGCGCTAGCGCGGACATGCGCCCACCTGCAAACAAAATACCTCCCAGTAGTTCTATCAAGTTTGGAACTCTTCCAGCGCCGCCCTTTCTCTTCCTGCACTGTATGCAAGATGTGGTAAGTCCTACTCGCGGTATATGTTCGTCTCATCCACATGCTTATATGGTCTGTGTGGTAGATTGCGGTATGCTCTACTAGTCGCAAGGCGCTACATCGTACTCGTCATGGCAAGATCGGAATGCATGAAGTGCTGACGTCTTCTCCCCAGTAGATTCGACCTACCGATTTGTCCGCTACATCAGCCGCAGGACAGAACGGCCACCTAGCTACCAAGACGCATGCTAGGGACGTCTGGTTGGGCATGCTCATCGCCGTATATTGTTGACCGATGCCGGCAGATTAAATCGAGGGTGAGTGCGTATCTCTTGACTCCGACATTCCATCTTATACCCAAAGATCCGCCTCCGTGTTTGAGACTATCGCGACATGGCTCTCAACGGCACCGCACTGCTCAGCACTTGCTGGACGCCGTAGCAAATCTGAGGACGGGGTGCAAATTATAACCATTTCTCGAATGTCTTTGGACGTCTACGTCAGATCCCTCACCGTCGCATGGCCGATTCAGATTGACACACACACACAGACGAGACCGGCAACTGTATTGGATCTATGAATATGTCAATCCTGGCTTCCGCGCGAGGTGGACTTCGGAACACACCTCTGCGTCTACTCTCCGCTTCGCTGTCAGACGGCGCCGCCTCATGCATATGCTTGCTCCACACGTAGGCGTTGATCCAGAGTCTACTTTCGAGCGGCCGCCGGCAAGAGAGAAGACTAGACGCCGTGTACATGGGAGAGATCAAGGAGCGGCGGACTGTCACCCGCCACATCGAACTTTGGCTGCGCACAACTCCCACGCGCGGTGCACTCAGTACACGAAGCAGTATGGTCGAGACTCCATACCCCCGATTCCGATCCCGCACTGGTAGCATTGCCCTCGAGGGTCCGGAGTGTCGCGGAGTTGGTCAGTCGCTATCCAGCCTCACGGCCTCACGGATCAGACGAAGTACACAACTGTCAAGTGTGAACCTCGCCACTACTCACCGACTAGTCCGGCGGACGTGATCGATACACTGGATAGAAGGACGATGGACCATAGCTGTTGGACCCCGCGGCCACTTCAGTATCAGTACTACACTGGAACGGACGCATCGTTTCCTCCACCCAGAAACCTTGGAGAAACGATGAGCTTGCTCAGTTTCACAAGGTTCGTTAGGTTAAGTTTACAGGGATAGGTAAGCCTGATTTATCTGCCCTGGAAAGGCGTTGGAGGCCTATTTCTGCAGGTCTAAGGGGCTTATCTCACCGCATGAAACTTTTTATTTCCATTTTCCAATTCCTATCCCTTTCTTGACCTCGCAAAGGATCCAATCTTTGCAGTGCTAGTCCCAATCCCGCTCGAGACGCGAATCATGTCTGGTTTTCTTAACAGGTTTCTTCGCTGCGTTCATCCCCTCGGCCATCTCGCTCTGTCTGTGGCGATCGCACCTGTCGCACGCCGGTCGATGCATCATGTGGCTCTTTTCTTTCTGAGTCCGATGCGCTGTGCCGAGGTGGTACCACTTGGCATCCGGCATTGGGTGCCAGGACGGCGCGCCTGACGTTTTGATGTACTCCGGCGGGCGGTGGAAACAGAGTATGTACCCCATTTTCAGTTTCACGCGCTGTGGCGATCACTGCTAACCTACTGACCATATGAACGAAAGCTTCAATCATCGATAAACGGGCCTTCTGGAGCAACATGGACGATTATGAATCGCTTTCCAGAGCTACCTCTCCGGCCTCTAGACTTTCATTCAACGTCACGCCCGTGAAGACGACAAACTCGTCAAACAGCGATCGCTCCTCTCTAAAACTGCTGAAATGAAAGACTCCGTTCTAGATGCCCATCCCGTCTAACGTTCTGTCTCCGTGGATGGTGTGATGCTCACCTTTGCGTGATCTGGAGCGGATCCTGGAGCACCGCAACACGGCGCTCGTACTCAGCTCTACTCAGATTCACCACCCCAACTCGCGACCGTCGACTTCCTTTCCGTTACTCGACGTCGCACTGGTCAATCCTGCATTGATTACTGACTCCGATTGGATTCATATCACATTGCTCTGCCGAATAGGGCTCTGTCGGTGGGGCGTTGGATCGGTTCGGTTGCATGCAGTGAAGTGTTTCAGCATTTACTCTCGACTTCGGGCTCGACGCTCGCTTCGGTACCGGATACCCGACAAGGAGTCACGACGCATCTTGCCCGCGTGACTCACGGTGTTGGTTGTACTGCACTCAAGTCGTTCTCGGTTTGCTTGCCACGAGTTTTCCTGACTCAATAGGGAAACACAGGAACTTGATGCGGTATGTTTGTCCATTGAGTGGAAGCATCCTCCCGAGTACGACAACTCATCGCGAGAGGAATGTACATTACTACCGCATCGATCATTGCCAAGCGCGGCCTGGGTGACCTTAAGCGCCAATAAGGTTCCGACGTCGGGGCGCCCTTCCTCTGCGAGTCATCATCTGCAAGTGAGTGGGATTTCTAATTGACAGCGGGATCACATATATGTGGCATACGGTCGAAGGCCGTCAACCTTCATCCCGAGACGTGTCTACTCCCATGCACTCTCCTCAGGGTCTTCTTCAATTTGTTCTCGGCGCACTCCTAAATACCTCTTCGACAGGCGCATTTGCGACTGATGGGCCTATAGCGCCAACGGTGCGGCTTGACGCAGCCACGGTGGTTGGTTCACAAAACGGTTCGGTCGACAGCTTCCTAGGAATCCCGTTTGCACAGCCCCCGTACGTCTTCCCGTGACCTGTATCTCAGCCTTGTACAGACACCGTTTGATCATCGAAAAACCACAGGGTTGGGAATCTTCGCCTCAGGCTTCCTGAGCTTCTGACTTCCTACAATGGAACCGTCAACGCCACCGCCTTCGGGAACCAATGCATACAACAAATGCCTGCAACGATAGACGCTCCTCCGGAGCTGTTGCAAGATGTCACGAAATTTTATTCTGAGGCTAGATTTGGTCCAGATTTTGGTGTTCCTCATAGCGAGGATTGTGAGTGCAGCCTATCTAGATTCGTATGTATTCTGATCACGCACTGGTGCAGGCTTGTACCTCAATGTGATCCGTCCTGCGAATATATCGGTGGGCGCGAACCTCCCGGTGTTAGCGGTGAGTAAATTGTGGTGCCAGAGGCACTCTCTTGCTGAATATATCGACTCTTCCCAGTGGATTTACGGGGGCGGATTTGCTGTGGGGTCCAACGCAATGTGAGCGCTGGTAAGGGAACGAACCTGCGCGAAAACTAACACTCGCGTTCCTCAACAGGGAAAACCTCAACGGCTCTGCTATTGTACAGAGATCGATTGATATCGGCGAGCCTATAATCTACGTGGCGATGAATTATCGGTGAGCGTATAAGTCTCGTGATGCTGCATGCAGACTTCTTCGGAGCTGATGGGTCCCATCTTTTGCATAGGGTGAACGTCTTCGGATTCTTGGGCGGTCAGGAAGTGAAAGAAGAAGGTGTGGGGAATCTCGGTCTTCAGGATCGTGCGTGCAAGTTCTTGCCATACCCACTGAGCGCTGTACTCATCAATTGCGCACAGAACGCGCCGGACTCCGCTGGATCAACAAGTTCATCTCGTCCTTCGGAGGAGACCCAACCAAGGTGACAATGTAAGTACAAATCGAGCTATTTCACTAGCCGGATACTGACGGGATATCTGCACTATGAAGCTGGGGCCAGAGTGCTGGGTCGATATCAGTCGCACTGCAGATGCTGCACAACGATGGAGATCCCGAGGGTCTCTTCCGCGCTGGGATCATGAATTCGGGAAGTCTTATATACACTAAGGATGTGACGGAACTGCAGGACACCTACGACCTCGTAGTTGATCAGGTCGGATGCTCCGGAGCGTCGGACAGTCTCGCATGCCTGCGGACTGTATCTACGGAGAGTCTTGTAGCGGCTGCTAACACGTCTCAGAACCGCTATACTGACCACACTGTGAGATCCCTTGTCCGCGTTGTTCATTCTCATGATACTTATGGCATATATAGTGGTTGGTCAATCCGTACATGCCGCGTGCAGACGGCAGATTCCTCAAGCGACCTATCCCAGAACTAGTGCTCAATGGAAAACTGGCGAAAATCCCATTCATCATCGGTACGTGTACGCATCCTCTCATTTTGCTCAATTCTGATCGACATTTCCCCTAGGTGATGT